CATATCAAAAGATGTGCAGTACATGAATATATCTATTCATATATAAATACATACATACATATATTTTTGTATATATAGAATTATATGTATATATGCATGTATGTATATAGTATACATATAGACACATGTAGATGGAAAGAGATCACACACATATATATTCATATTTATGTCTCTCCATCTATTTTTTAATAAAAAAGACAAGCATTTCATTATATTTTCATAAAATATTATGAAAATTATGTTACAATCCAGTAAAACATTAATCAATCATTATTCATAAGGAAGTGGATCCAATGTTAACAGTAATTTACATTAGGATATTAATAAGTGTTTGTATATTGGTAACCTTTGTTATTGGATATTTATCATGTATTTTTGCTAAAGAGGAAAATAGTCATACTGATGGAAATCATGCATTTTCATTCAGATTTCGTACTTGAAGATGTGTTAGAGATCCTTTAATTCATGATAAATTAAACTTGCTGAGTGATTTCCGCACCTTTGTGCATTGGCAAAGGCCAATCCTTATTTACATTAGTCATATTGTTTACTATTCTTTACTATGCCTCTTCAATATGTTGCTCTTGCACATTAATTGATTTCCAAATGGCATAGTGACATTTACTCACTCCTGAAGGTATTTATGAAGCTGATATGAGCTGAGGAGGGTCGCTACGATAAGCGTCACGAGAGGTTTCGGGCTCCCGTAAATGTCTCTCGTACGGAGATGTGTTTACGACATCGGGAGTGTTTTGGAAATACGCTCGTTGCGAGAAACGAGAGAGTAGCTTGTTTTACGATATAAACAAACCATTTACGATACCGTAAGACGTTAGTAAATCCGGCCCCTGATATTCATATCATTATCCTTTTAAAATTCAGAATTATTTCTTGAGATGGAGGCTTACCAGTGTGAACTCTACGGTGTCATCTTGCCACATTTAACTACACCAGACAATCTTACACGGTTTCTTAAAGCCAACAAAGAATTTATAGAACTAAAACCTGAGATTCGTAGTAAACACTGGGAACAATTCTTGCATAGTATCAATAGTCAAAATTATATAGCTGATGTATGGAGAAAGATTAATAGGCTGACAGGTAAAAACAGCATCGCAGTTTCAGAGCCACAAAAACAGGCTAATATGCTGCTGGAGAAGTGGGCCGAAAATTCTCAGCTGAACTTACTTCCGCAAGATATAAAAGATCAACTTGACAAGTCGAAAATAAATAGAAAATTCAGTATAGTAGTAGCCTGTGCTGCTATTGACCCGTCCGACTTTCCCGAAGTAACCGACTGGGAGCTGAGTAATGCCCTTCTGAAAGGTAAGGCAACCGCCCCTGGCGAGGATGGCATTATTCACAGTGTTCTTCGCCTCGTTGCTCAGGTACCAGGTAACCCGCTTTTACACCTGTATAGACAGCCTATCACAAGGAATCCTCCCAGACCAATTTTCTTGACCTCCTGTCTGTGCAAAGTACTTGAAAGAATAATTCTGAACAGACTCATGTACCGTGTACATGCTAAGCTATCCCCCAAACTGTATGGATTTCTTCCAGGACGTAGCAGTCAGCATTGTTTTACAGAGTACTTAACAAACTCAAAACCCAGGCACGCAAACCGTATTTCTTGATCTTCAAACTGTCTTCGATATTGCAAACAGAGAAATTATCGTTGAGCAATTAGCTAGCTTTGGTATACAGGGAAATCTGTTAACGTGGATTCAAATGCATCTACCCATTCGATCAGCTCAGGTTTTCTATATGAGTATTAGGAATACTCATAGAAAAGTGTTTGAACTCGGCACACCTCAGGGAGGCGTACTTAGTCCCATGCTATTTAACATCCTAATGCATAGATTACTAGGCGATATACACTTGAGT